TTTCTTTTTGCTTATGTGGTGCTGAGGAATCGAACCCAGGGCCTCATGCATGCAAGGCAAGCGCTCTACCACTGAGCCACCTTCCCAGCCCCTGGATATACTATTTTTATAAAATATATTCAGAAGGTATTTAGGACTAAAGGAGTAGATACATCTGCAACTAACCTCAAAAGAATATACCACACATAGTTCTTAAAATAATAAGCATTAAAACTGAATTCCTTCCTTAGTCATTTTTCCATTAGAATTTTACTTACTTCTTGTATCATTTCTCCTATTATTATGCACAGATTTATTTGGTTCAGGCTGACATCTTGAGCTATTCCGAGATCCAGGCCTTTCTTGACTATCTGGTCTTACATCATCCAAGTGGAGCGGTACCCACTTGTGCTTATTAGCTTCAAGAAAACAAAATAAAATCATAATGGCAGTACAAAATTTTCACTAAAGCTTTGCAAGTCAGAAAGCACTCTAAATTTTAATTAATATGGAAGTGGAGCTGTAACTCAAGTGGTAGAGCCCAGCCGTGAGTGAAAAAGCAGAGACAGCTCTTAGGCCTTGTGTTCCAGCTTTAGCACGCACGTGCAAACACACACACGCGCACACACACACTTAATAATTTACTTGCCTTTAAAGGAATTATTTGTAAGGTACCAAAAGACTCATTTTCCTTCTCACACAGAATAGAGCTTTGGTAAACTTGTTTGTGCAAACGAAAGTCAAGTGATCAAGTTATCACTGGAATTATTTCATGTAAGTGAAGTGTTCACCTTTCTGTTTAATTCAAATAACACTATCTCTTGCTAATATCTGATTCTTAGGCTTTACATAGCATAATTTACACAGCTGGAACCAAGACTAGTGATAAAAACACACTGAATCCTGGAGCAGTCTAAAACACGAACTTAACCAAAGATTACTACTACTCAGTGATGTTTCCCAAAACTTAAGAGACAGATAAATATAAAATATATCAGGATTTTTTTAAAAAATAGCTATAATGCATTTTCCTTATTAGGGGAAATAAAAGATGAGCACGGTGACACATGCTTATAATCCCAATACTCACAAGGTTAAGGCCAGTTTAGACTACATAGAAAGTCCCTGCCTCCACATCTCATTAAAAAAAAAAAAAGAAGAGAAAGAAACGAAGAGAAAAGGAAAAAGAAAAAGGAGGGAGAGAATGAGGAAGGGAGGGAAAAAAGGAGAGAGGGAAGGAAGGAGGGAAATGCAAGTTAACTTTTACTGAGAATCCACATTATAACCACGTTATGGTTATGCTATAATAGCTGGGTGCCAGTGACTCACACCTGTAATCCTAGCTACTCAGGAGGCTGAGATCTGAGGATCGCGGTTCAAAGCAAGCCCTGGCAGGAAAATCTCTGAGACTCTTATCTCCAATAAAAACCACTAGAAAACTGGAAGTGGCGCTTTGGCTCAAGCCGTAGAGCGCTAGCCTTGAGCTGAAGAGCGTAGGGACAGTGCCCAAGCCCGGAGATTTTAGGTTTTAAAACACTATGTTGCGCAATCTACATTTTCTACCAAAAATTAAAAAGATGCAAAGCAAAAATTACCGAAGTAATGTAAGGACAAGAAATATTATTAATGTGTATCTACAGTACTGATATTCTGTAAATCCTGCTAACCTATAGCTTCAGTGAAGCATATAAAAAAGGAACCCTAGTGCACTGTTGGTGGGAATGTAAACTACTATAACCACACTAACTCTAGCAAGCAATCTGTAGGTCCCTCAAAAAAAATTAAATGTAGAACTTCCCTATGACCCAGCCAATTCCACTCATGGGCATCTACCCAAAATGTTACAAATCATGATATGATAAAAACATTTGCACATCCATGTTTATTGCTGCATTATTCCTAATAGCCAAATGATGAAAACAGCCCTGATGCCCTACAGTAGATGAATAGATCCAAAAAATGTGGTTCATATACACAATGGAATTTTACTTATTAGAATAAGATGATGCCATTTGCAGGGAGATGGATGGACCTGGAACAACTGTGTTATGTTTGGTAAGCCAAGCTCAGAGAGAAAAATAGCAAGTTTTCTTTCATATGGAGAAACAAGATCTAAAATATAACTGAACATGATAACCTACACAAGGATTCAAGGCATACAAATACACAGAATTAGACCAAAGGAAGATACCACCAGTAGGGAAGGAACTCAAAGGCACAATTCTCCTGAACATTTAAAATACTATTTATCAAAATGAATTCCAGGAAACAGAAACACAGATTATTTATGTTGTTGGCAATGGTGTTTGTGTGTGCTTTTCTCTCTCTTTATCTTCTGCTTCTTAGGGAGCTAAAAGAGGGGTACAGAAAGAGGGGGGAAAGGTGAACAAATGCAATCATGGTATTTAGTATATACTATGTAGAAAATGAACTATGTAATTTGTGGGCAGTGACAGATGGGGAAATCTGGGAGAAAGTAAAGGGTGACACTGTCTAAAAGAGAATGTACACAGCACCTGAACTGTAACATGTTAACCCTCTAGGTAACACCTTTATAATAGCAATAAAATTACTTACATTTTAAATTGAAAACGATGTAAGACAAGAATTTTCCTTTTGAAAAATTACTTTCCCAGTTTCTTTTAATAGGGAAATGTAATGAAGGTGCTTTGAAGGAAAAACTTAACTACAATTATCCTGTTTTCTCTTAGAAAAATGAAGAATTTAATTTTCTCCCAGGAGCAATTTCAAAACAGAGAATTAACAGAATAATTATCATCTACTTCTTTAAGAATGTATCTACAACTGTATTTCATAAAGCTTCATTCTATTTTCTTGCGTATACTACAATGCAGAAAATGGGGAAACCTACTTTGTAAGTGTTGTAAGAACAAGTGAGCTACTATTACTGACGACTGATTCTGAAGAAATACAAATCATATTGGTTACTACTCAAGATTAACTGATTAAAATAATTTGTTACTACAACTTTCTTCAAAAATGTACACAGAGAGGGGCTGGGAGGGTGGCTCAGTGGTAGAGCGCTTGCCTTGCATGCATGAGGCCCTGGCTTCAATTCCTCAGCACCACATAAGCAGAAAAAGCCCAAAGTGGCACTGTGGCTCAAGTGGTAGAGCACTCGCCTTGAGCTGAAGAGCTGAGTGACAGTGCCCAGACCCAGGGTCAGGCCTCACAACTGACCAAAAACAATAAAGAAAGAAAGAGAACTGACCTCTCTTTCGCTGATTGCTTGATTGAGCCTCATCTTCACTAATGTTTTCGCCAGGACCATCTGACTTTGCTTCCCGATTTTCTTTGCTTTCGCCATTACTTCTCTTTTCAATCTTTTCTTCTTTTTCTTTTCTAATTTGTAGCTTCTTATTTCCTTGGCTGATGACACTCTGAGACTGCAAAAAAAAAAAAATGTTCTGAATGAAATCACTTTCATTAATGGTTTTACAACATCCAAAATTTTGTGTAATAAATGCTACTTAAGTATTACCAAACAAATGAGAAAATAATTCATTAAAAACAAAACGTGGGCTGGGAGGTAGCTCAGTGGTAGAGTGCTTGCCTTGCATGCATGAGGCCCTAGGTTCGACTCCTTAGCACCACATAAGCAGAAAAAGCCAGAAGTGGTGCTGTGGCTCAAGTGGTAGAGTGCTAGCCTTGAGCTGAAGAGCTGAGGGACAGCGCCCAGGCCCAGAGTTCAGGGCCCACGACCGACCAAAAGAAAAGAAAAACAAAACAAAACAAAACAAAAAAAAACAGTTGGCACCAATAGCCTCTTACCTGTAATCCTAGCTACTCAGAAGGTTGAGATTTGAGGATTGTGGTTTGAAGCCAGCTCAAGTAGGAAAAGTCGGTAAGACTCTCATCTCCATCAACTAACTACCAGAACTGGCAAAAGTGGAGCTACACAGCTCAAGTAGTAGAGCACCAGCCTTGAGCATAAAAGCTCAGAGACAGCACCCAGTTCCCTGAGTTCAAGGGCCAGAACTGGCAACAGAACAAAACAAAAAAAAGAAGAAAACAAAACAAAACAACAACAAAAACCAGAAAGCTCAAGAACCTCTATTCAAGCCAGGACACCAGAAAAAAACAGATCACAACAAAACAAACAAACAACAAACATACATGGAAGGGCTGCAGCTATAAATAAGATAGTGGTGTGAGACCTCTGGGTTAGAGCACTAGTAACATTAAAATAAGATACAGCAATGGAAAACATATATGACAAAGCTCAAGACTAGCACTCTACCACTTGAGACATGGCTCCACTTCCAGCTTTTTCTGCTTATGAGGTGCTGAGGATTAAGCCCATATCCCTGAGCTTTTGTGAACAAAACTAGTGCTCTACCACTGAGTAACAGCTCCACTTTCAGCTTTTTGCTGGTTGGTTGGAAGTAAAAGTCTCACAGATTTTCCTGCCCAGACTGGCTTTGAACCATGGTCCTCGGATCTCAGCCTCTTGAATAGCTAGGATTACAGCTGTGAGGTATGTGAAGGCTCTCAGCAAGTCTGGAAGTCTCTTAAACAAGCCAGGTACTGGTGGTGACTCACACCCATAATTCTAGCTACTCAGGAAGGTAAGATCTAAGGATTGAGATTCAAAGCCAGCCCGGGCAGGAACTCCATGACATATCTATCTTCAATTAACCAGAAAAAAACCCAGAAGTTGGGGTTGGAGCCTTGGCTCCACTGCTAGAGTGTTAGCCAATGAGCAAAGCATCAGGTACTGAGCCTGAGTCTTGGTCTTAAACCAAAGGAAAAAAAAAGCAGGAAGTGGAGCTGTGTCTTGAGCAGAAGAGCACTAGCTTTGAGTGAAAACCTGAGGGACAGGGACAGGTGTTTAGCTCATACCCTAGTTCTCCCTGTGCATGCACACACAGCACAAAAGCCAAATAGTTACTGGAGATCGAGATACCAAAATATTAACCCAAAAAACATACAAGCATATATGCATACAAAATTTTGTATAGCCAAGTTTTATATGGTAGTTGTATTTCTAATGGCCAAAACCTGGCATCAGTCCTTATGTCCATCTAAAATAAGTGAACAGACACTGGAGATGTGGCTCACACAGCAGAACAGTACACTTGCCCAACAGCATGAAGCACTGAATTCAAACCTCTGTATAACGAAGGAAAAAACTATTTTTTTTGGGTGTGGGGGGGTCAGTTATGGGGCTTGAACTCAGAGCCTGGGCACTGTCCCTGAGCTTTTGCACTCAAGACTAGCTTTCTACCACTTTAAGCCACAGGACCACTTCTGGTTTTCTGATAGTTAATTGGAGTTAAGAGTCTCACAGGGACTTTTTTGCCCAGGCAGGCTTTGAACTATTATCCTCAGATCTCAGCCTTCTGAGTAGCTAAGATTACAGGAGAAGACCACCAGCATCTGTCCCAAACTATGGTTTTAACTACCACACAAATCTACATATATGGAAAATGCAAATTAATTCATAGTGACCACATATTAGTGGCAGCTAAGATAGTGAAGATGGATGGGACAGGGAGAATTACAAAAGGGTATAAGAAAACTTTTTTTGGTTGGCTGTGCGGCCTAAACTCTGGCCCTGGGCACTGTCCCTCAGCTCCACTTCCGGCTTTTTCTTCTTATGTGGTGCTGAGGAATCGAACCCAGGGCCTCATGCATGCAAGACAAGTCCTAAGAAAACTTTTGAAGGCAATGGTTTTTCTTTTGATTCTGGAGATGGTTTTTAGGCCAAACCTTACAAGTTACGTATTTCATGTATCTATATGCAGTTTATTCTATGTCATATTTCAGTTAAGTTATTTAATATATACCAATGATACTGTACATTGACAGAGTGAAAAGGAGGATAGCGTCAAATGAAAAAAATGAAGCCAGCCAGATAAATATATGGTACTCCTCTAAGAAGCCCTTGGTGGGATATTTTAGTAGCACCTTTCATAGTTGGCCAAGTGTGGAAATCCAAGCACACAGGAGGCTAAGATAAAAGAATCATGAGTTTGAGGACAGTCTGGGTTATATGGTGAAATTCTACCTGAATCAAAGGGAAAAGTCCATTGATCACACCGACACACTCTCTCTCTCTCTCCCTTTTTAGGTCATGGGGCTTGAACTCAGGGCCTGGGAGCTGTCCCTGAGCTTTTCTGATCAAAGCCAATTCTCTACCACTTTGAGCTACAGCTCCACTTCTGGTTGTCTAGTTGTTAATTGGAGAAAAGAGTTTTAAGGACTTTCCTGCCCATGCTGGCTTTCAACCATGATTTTCAGATCTCATCCTCCTGAGTAGCTAAGATTAGAGGTGTGAGCCGCCACCACCTAGCAACTGCACATTCATTTATACATATGCATGCACCCATGTGTGCATGTGTGTAGTTAGCACTTTAACATATATTGAAGATTATAAAGAAAATATAAACATAACAGCACAAATTTTAATATATAAAATAGGCTTCATCAAGCACTGATGGCTCATTCCTATAATCCTAGCTACTCAGAAGTTTGAGATCTGAGAACTGAGGTTCGAAGCCAGCCTAAGCAGACATATCTGAGATGTTTATCTCTAATTAGCCAGCAATAAAGCAGAGCTGAGGCTCAAGTGGTATTGTGCCAGCCTTGATTGAAAAAGTTATGTGAGAAAGGGGCCTTAAGTTCAAGCACCAGCACTGGTGTGCATACGCACGCGCACGCGCGCACACACACACACACACACACACACAATCTATTGTAAGTATTACAGAATGATGACAACCATATGCCTCTACCACATGCAAACGTAAGGTCACCTCCAAAGAATTCTAGATGAGTATATGTAAATGAAATAATGTGTCTGGATTGAGTAAAATTATAAAAAGGGTAAATGTCAAGTTATACAGACTCACAAAAACATTTTGAGGCAGCTGCCAATGGCTCACAACTATAATCAAGCAGTAAAGAATCAACCATGAGCAAGAAGGCTGAGGAGAAAGCCCCTGAGTTCAAGCAAATAATAATATTACTGGCAAATTATATTAGTAACAATGTAATAGTAATAATAATGTACTGTCATTATTGCAAAGTAATAGTAATAATGGAAGTAATAAAATATTTTGACATAATTTTTAATATGTGCTAAAATTATTACTAAAAAATAGGCAAAGTTTACTCAAAGTTTACATTTGAAGCTACCAGGTTACTAATATACTATAGGCAGCAGCACCACAGGATAACTGTTAAACAAAACAGTGATCTTAATGATTAATCAAGTCTTTATGTCCTTCATGGCAGTAATTCTTTAGATTTCAGACCTGGAGAAAGAAAGTTGCTTGTTGTTGTTAAGACATAATCTCCCTGTCACACCCTCCTACCTCAGCCTCCCAAGTGCTGGGACTCCAGGCATATACCATGATACCCAGCTTTCTTTAGATTTTAAGTAAATTCTATATGTTGAAATGAGAACATGCTACTGTTTATTTTTTTATGTAAAAATGTCTTAAAATAATACTTACTCCAGTGTTCACTAATTCACCTGGTGTTGGCCAATTTGCCATATCACTGAAATCACTGGCCTAAAAAGTAACAAATAAGTATTATGCCTGCAAATATTTAGAATTTTTAAATAGAAAAACTATTTGCTCAAAGTATTAATAATTTTAAAAATCATCTACATGTAATTATATGTAGACCTTTGCCAAATTAATTCAGTGTTTCTCCATTAATTCAAATGTTTCACACAGAACATATTAAAATAAAAATATTTTGGTCTTATGATCAAACTTCAAGAATTTAATGATTTTAATTAAATTGAGATTCATATGATAGTGGCATATGGGGATTATGAGTATCTTTAAATGAACATAAATGATATAATTAGAAGAAAACGTATAATAATTTTATGAGTTAGTTCCCAAAGAACTTGCAAAATTAATATAGTTAAGAATCATTTCTTATAAATACATACCTTGTTGGATTTCTTTGTCTTGAGTTTTCCTGCTTTTATAATTTTTGGGGAACTGAGCTCTAAAGAAAATACATAATTGTTACAATCATTTCATTCAACCTATTTAGCAAAGTAAATATTACTCCAGTAATATTGCCAAAATCCCAAAGACATCAAAAATACTTAATATGTAGATTCAGATTAATTAGCCATATCCAAACCAAGAAGTAGGAAGTATTCAGTTACAATACACACAAATGAATTGGCATACCAATCAAATAGACTACAAGAGAAAATCAGAAATATCACTTAAGTTCAACTCACTTTCTATTAGGATTTTCTTTCTTATACAACTAAGTTCAGAAAAATAGGTCAAAAGACTAAACTCCTCATTATAGGACACAACAGGTTTGGCAACTCTAACAGGTTGTACCCAGATTCAAGCCATAAAAGACAGTAACTTGGGTTGGTAATGTAGCTCAATGATAAGAATGCTTGCTTACTTAGCCATGTATGGCCCCGAGTTCAATCCCTAGCACTGTCTCCTCAAAAAGAAAAAAGATATTTTAAAGGGCATTAGTGCATCATCACTTGTTCTTATACTGAATGAAAGCATAGTGGCTGACAGAAAAAAAAACCAATACAATGCTTCATGAAGATGAGGTGATCACTTTTATTTTGCCTTTTTGTTTGGCTCATTATCTGGCAAGATGACCAGATGGAATCATCCCAATCCCTATACTCAGAAGGCTAAGGCTAAGACCTCAAGTTGTTTTTTGTTTTTGTTTTTTTTCTGTTGGCTGTGGGGCTTGAACTCTGGGCCTGGACGCAGCTCTTCAGTTCAAGGCTGGTGCTCTACCACTTGAGAGCCACTTCCAGTTTTCTGGTGGTTAATTGGAGATAAGAGTCTCATCGACTCTCCTGCCCCACATGGCTTTGAACCACTATCCTCAGATCTCAGCCTCCAGAATAGCTAGGATTAGAGGTGTGAGCCATTGGTGCCCAGCCTGGACTATATAGTGAGCTCAAGGCCAGCCTTAAAAATATTGTGACCTGGTCTGGGAACCAGGTGGCTCAGTGGTAGAGCGCTTGCCTTGCATGCGCTTGCCTTGAGGCCCTGGGTTCGATTCCTCAGCACCACATAAGCAAAAAGAAAAAAGCCGGAAGTGGTGCTGTGGCTCAAGTGGTAGAGTGCTAGCCTTGAGATGAAAGAGTTGAGGGACAGCACCCAGGCCCACAGTTCAGGCCCCATGACCGGACCCAAAAGAAAAGAAAACAAAATAAAATATTGTGACCTGGTCTCAAAAACCAATACCAGACTTGAGATCTACATCTATAGATAACACAACACAGTAAAAAGCAACAGCCAATCTAGAGAATAAGTAGTTTTAAAAACCCAGAAGTAGGGGGCTGGGAATGTGGCTTAGTGGTAGAGTGCTTACCTAGCATGCATGAAGTCCTGGTACCACATACAAAGAATTGGCACTGTGGCTTAAGTGGTAGAGAGTTAGCCACGAGCAAAAGAAGCTCAGGGACAGTGACCAGGCCCTGAGTTCAAGCCCCAGGACTGGCTGAAGATAAATTTAAAGAAATCTAGAAGTAGGTTAAAAATCTAGAAGCATGTTTAAGATATAGAACACTTATCAAAGGAAGAAGGCAGCCAGAAGTGACATCATATATGAGAAATCCTAACTACTGCAGAAGCTGAGGCAAAAACTGAGTTTCACAGAACAAAACCAAGAAAGAGCTAGATGATGGTGGCTCACGCCTATAAACCTAGTAGTCAGGAGGCTGAGATCTGAGGATCACAGCACGGGCAGGACATTCCTTGAGCCTCCCATTTCCAATTAACCATCAGAAAAACAAAAACAAAACAGAAAAGGCTGGAGGTGGTGCTGTGGATCAAAGTGGTAGAGTACTAGCCCTGAGCAAAAAAGAGCTCAGAGACAGCACCCAGGCCACAAGTTCAAGCCCCACAACCACCAAAAAAAAAGAAAAAAGAAGAAAAAGAAAAAAAAAAAAACAGGAGTTTCTCTGTTGCCACTCCTGCAGAGGAATGTTTTTTTTCCCCTTTCTATTTCTCCCAACTTTGCCCTGACATACTAAATAAATCTTTGCTAATTTTAAAAAGAGGATGGGATGGTTTAGAGGGAAGAAGAAATGGGAAGGGAAGGAGGAAAGAAAGGGGAAGACAAAATGGGAAGAGAAGGGAGGGAAGAGATGAGATCAGGAAGAACATTCAAGAGTTCTTTAACTTTACATTCTATTTTTTAAACTATAGTTAAGTACACAGGGTTTGCTTTTTATGTCTTTATAGTTTATGTAAATATGTCTAAGTGCATACTTATGAACATGTACATTTGGATTAAATATTTCGTTAAGAAAAACTAAATGCCATAGAGAAAAAAATACAGGCAACTAGGACAAAAACAAAAAAAAAAAGAAGCCCATAGGGAAGGAAAAAGGTCTAAATCCCTAATAAAGACAGTATTTAATCAAGAGACTCAGATCTGAGGATTGTAGTTCAAAGCCATCCCAAGCAGAAAAGTGGTGGACTCTTATCTCCAATTAACCAACAAAAAAGCTTGAAGTGAGGTGTGGTTCAAGTGGTAGACTGCTAGCCTCCTGCAGAAAGGCCCAAGGGCAGTGCCAGGCCCTGAGTTCAAACTACAACAAAATAGTATTTAAAGATTATCTAGGGTAGAGCGCTTGCCTAGCATGCATGTAGCCCTGGGTTTAATTCCTCAGTACCACATATGCAGAAAAAGCTGGAAGTGGCACTGTAACTCAAGTGGTACAGTGCTAACCTTGAGCTCAAAAGAAGCCCAGGGACAGTGCCCAGGCCCGGAGTTCAAATCCCCAGGACTGGGGAAAAAAATCATCTAGGTTACCTGGTACACAATTTTGAGGAGATATTTCCCTCAACAACATGGAAAGTATGTTCCAAATGCTGCTGATTTCATGAGTAAACATTATAAAATAGAGCTATATACAAACTACTTGGTTTAATGGAAAATAACATAAGAGGTTATCTCAGCAAATTTTATGTTTATTATAAATTAATTAGATTGCTTGCAGCTGGGGGGAGGGTGTAAGGGAAGCGGAAACATCCTGGCTTCTCACTGTCTATAGAGTCCAGGCTCACCTCCAACTCACTATCCCCGGGCCTCAGCCTCCTGAGTGCTGGGATTATACTCCTCGGTAACCATATCCAGCTAAACTAGACATTACTATGGCACAATCAGAAATTGAAGACAATTACTCTGACCACACAAAATCAAAGCCAACACTCTGACTTTCACAATATACAATGCAATTAAAGTATCTGTAACATATAGATGTGAATATTTTTGTTAATTTAAAAATCATTACATTGGGCTGGGGATATAACTGAGCCCTACAGCTCTTGCCTAGCATGTACAAAGCTATAGTTTCAATCCCAATCAATTGTTCCCCTTCTAAAATAGCAAAAAAAAAAAAACCCAACCAACCAACCAACCAACAAAAAAAACCTATGGTTCCTTTCCTCCTTCCTTCCTTTTTCTGTGGGCCAGATCTAGGGCTTGAATTCAGGTCCAGGAGACTGTCCCTGAGCTTTCTGACTCATTGTTAGCATTCTACCACTTAAGCCATATCCATCTCCAGCTTTTTTTGTTGCTTACTTGGTGATAAGACTCTCAGGGACTTTCCTGCTTGGGATGACTTTGAACTGTGACTCTCAAATCTTAGCCTTCTGAGTAGTTAGGAATATAGGCATGAGCCACCAGAGTCCAGGCTCAAATACCTTTCCCTCAAAAACCTAGAAACAAATATATCACACGAGCATGTGATCCATATATCTCTGTTTTTCAAACATCAATGGTTGCACACTACATGCCAGTAGACAATTCTTTATTACTCTTAGCATACATTAGTGGGGAAAACTTGAGACATCTCTAACACATTTTACAAGACACATGTGTAGCAGAATACAATGTATTCCAGTTACTTTCACTCCTTCTTTTACCCTCTTCTCTCCTTCCTAAAATGATTTAACAGATTTCATTATTCTATTTTCAATACATTTCTGAACAATATATCAATAATCAGTTTTTGTTGGTGTGGTCCGGGGATCATGAAAATGAAGTAATTGCTCCAGCACTAAGCTGTTTCCCCTTTTCTAAGATACTCTTCTTTAAGCTGTGGAAATCTATAGAGAAATGATTCAAAGCAGGTCAGGAAAAATGGCTTAGCAGGAAAGTTTTTTTTGTTTTTTTTTGGGGGGGGGGCAGTAATAGGATTTGAAGTCAAAGTCTTCAGCTTGTTCTTGCTTGCTTTGCGAGGGCTCTACTACTTGAGCCACCTCTCCAACTGCTTTTTGCTGGTTATTTTGGAGATGGAGTCCTGAAGACTTGTGACGCATCTGGCTTTGAACTATAGTCCTCCATCTCTCAGTCATCAAGTAGCTAGGATTGAAGATATGAGCCGCCAGTACCTGGCTAGTACAACATTAGCTAAACAAGGAGAGGCTTTCATTGTGACATTCCCACTCAATTTCTCACTTTCTATTACTAGTCTTACTCCTTTCTCCCTTCCTAAAACAATTTCAGCAAATAAAAAACTATTTTTAAGAGTTTGGATACTCAAATCCTGCAATACAAGGGTTAATCACCTTAATTTTCATGATCATAATTCTTCTCAAAGCCAGGCCAGGTAGGAAAGTCTGTGAGGCTCTCACCTCCAATTAAGCACCAAAAAAGCTGGAAGCAGAGCTGTGGCTCAAGTGGTAAAGGGCTAGCCTTGAGCACAAAAGCTCAGAGATAGTGCCCAGGCCCCTAAGTTCAAGACCCAGGACCTGTACAGGACCTAGGAAGGTGGCTCAGTGGTAGAGTGCTTTGCCTTGCATTCATGAGGCCCTGGGTTTGATTCCTCAGCACCACATAAGCAGAAAAAGCTGGAAGTGGCGCTGTGGCTCAAGTGGTAGAGCGCTAGTCCTGGGCTGGAGAGCTGAGGGACAGCGCCCAGGCCCAGAGTTCAGGCCCCATGACCGACAAAAAACCCAAAACAAAAGAAACTCATCAACAGTACCTCAGTTCCATATTGGATTAAAGGGGAAAATCTAAGTAAATCACCAGACTGGATTACACAAAGAATAGTTAAGAATAGTCTAAAAATGTAATCAAGAAGAGTTAAATTCTCCATGCATAAGCAATATTTAAACTAAAAGTACCCTGTGATGTTCCGCTTCCACACCATGGAAAGGTATACATCCACAGTGTTCAGTTTCATCTAAGAAATTTGAAACTGCTGAGTTGATCAACAGGTCAAAGGTAGATGAGTGGAGGTGTGGCTCAAGTGGTAGAATGCTAGCCTTGAGTAGAAAAGCTACCCGAGGTCAAGCCTGGAGCCTGGGGGAGGAGGAGGAGAGCTAAATTAGCCTTGTCAGCTAAAGTGGGCACCCATGCTCACACCTGTAACCCTAGCTACTCAGGAGGCTAAGATATGAGGAACTGGGTTTAAAGCCAGCCTGGCCTGGAAA